CAGTCAGAGAGGGTCGGTGAGGCCCAGGGACGGGTTGGGGGGCTTTTTCCAGGAGGGATGAGAACTGGGAGGGAGCGGGAGGCCCGCATGGCTGCGGGCCTGGGAAAGGGCTGCTGGACGCTGGGCGGGGTGGATGGGCGGCTCCGCCAGGCGGGCGGGCAGTGGGGCTCCGGCAGGAGTGCGGCGCTGTGGATGTTGCTGAGTCAGTGGAGGGGGCAGAATCACAAGACTGAGTGGTGGTGGTGGGGAGGGAAGGCGCCAAGAGATGACTCCTAGGTTTTTGGCCCAAGCATCTGAATGAATTGTGGTGGCATTTCCCAGAATGGGGAAGAAAGGGAGACATAGGTCTGTAGGGGTCATGAGGAGGACTGCTTTGGCCTCTTCTGTGTGAGTGTGCACGCGTGTGCTGCACCTCTGTCTTTGCATCTTTGCACTCCTGCAGCAGGGCACAGTTGTGCATGTGTGCATGTTGGGGGTTCAGGCCTCCCCATAGGGGTTTCCGGGCCCATCCTGGGACCAGCCCTGTCTCGGCCCTTCATTTTCTCCACGCCCCAGGTATTGCCCCTGCCAGATGGGGATTCCCCAGCGGCAGCTGATGATGGGGCGGGTAGGTCCCTGGGGACTGGTGACATCTGGGCACACTACCCCAGGCCCCAGAGGCCTTGGCAGCCCCACCCGGCAGCGGCAGGCAGGCACCAGGGCAGCTGGTGGCGATTAGCAGTGTTGATTACCTCGTGGCGATGCCATCTGGGGTGAGGGCACTGAGCCCAGCCCCACGGGATACCCTGCTTGCTGGCGTGCAAGGCTTTCTGGGGCTGAATGCACATGAATGTCAGCACGGCTGCATCACGTATGTGCGTAGGATGCCTGTGTGGCCCGTGTCTGTGTGCACATGTGCTCATGCCGGGCGCCTGCTGGCTTCTCCGCCTGCACACGCGTGCGTCTGCCCTGGGCACACACGTGTTCTGTGTGCCCGTACACGTCTGTGCGCACACGTGTCTCCGATTATATGTGTGCTGTGTGCCCGCGTGTGCTGTGTGTAGGCCTCTCCTGGGGTTTTCCGCGGCCTCTTTCTGTGGCCTCGTCTGTGCTCACCCGTGTGGCTCTCCATCTACCTGTGAACATGTCTAGCTGCACACTCACTCACATGGGGTCTAGACACACGCGTGACTGTATGTTTTGGGATCTGTGTGCACGTGTGTCAGGAGGGGGAAAGGGCACAGGCACATTCCCTGGCTGTGATATGATAGTGTGAGTAGCACCTTAGGGTGCTGGGGGAAGGTGTCTGCACTGGGCTGGCTCAGGCGCCTCCATTGGGCCCCGAGTCCAGCGTGGCCTCCTGCCCGGGAGAGTGTGGGTGTAAGTGGGGAGGGTAGGAGTTGCCCCGTGGGAGTCAGTGTTCTGCGTCCGCCCGGCTGGCGGGCGCTGACCTAGCTACGCGTGTGCTCCTGGGCGAGTTGTGCGGTTCCTCTGCTCAGGTTTCCCACACAGGCGTGCGGTGTCCTCCACTAGCTGAAAGTAGGATTCGGTATGATCTAGTAGATTATTACTGGGGGTGGGGAATGCCACGATCACTAACTTATATGAAAAATCTTTGAGCATTCCCAGACCCAAAGCCTCTGCTTTGGCGTCCCGGGGAGGAGGGAAGCCTGGAGGTGGGGGCACAGTGAGGGCAGAATTCTCCAGCCCGGGTTGCTGAGAGGGTTAAAGACTAACCCATGTGATGACCTCAGCCAAAGCCTGACCTGAAGGTGCGGCCTGTTATTCCCAAGTGCTCACCACTGGGGCGGACTCAGTGGGCCGGCTGGACCCGGCCCACCCACCCCTGAGCCTGCAGCACCCAGAAACCAGCACTCCCCCACTTTCCGCCTGCTGAGCTCAGCGCTTCCCAGGCCCCACCTCCATTGCCGCCACATCTGGGCTGGCTCTGAGCGGGGACCACAGTCTCGGCGCCTCCGTGGCCATGGTTGGGGTTTCCACTGACTCAGCGCCTCTGGGGTGCAGGCGGGAATCCCAGGCCTACTCCCCGCCCCCACCTGGGTTTAACCAGGGTCACCTTGTTGCTTCATGGGGAGCCCCATCAAGGTGCATCTGTGGGGGTTGGGGGACGCCCCCCACATCCATTCCCCTTACTCCTAGACCTCTTGTGCCCACTTCTCCATAGTTGCCCAGAAATCTGTTGGCTGCCTCCAGGGGAAGGCCCAAGGGGTCACCTTGGTCCTCCCCTTGCCGCCTGGGGACAGAACCTGACATGGCGCTTGCTGCTGTCCCTCAGGAGTCCAGTCTCCGGTCCAGCCTCTTGCTTCCTGGGCTCCTGCGTGTGCGGCTGCCCTTCGCCACCACTGGCGTGTGAACTCCAGCCCCAGGCTGGTCCTCTTGTTTAGCCCCAGCTCCCACCGGGCTTCACGACATGATGATGGGAACAGTGAATCTTTATGGAAGTCTCTGTTGTGCCAGGCCCGTAGTAAGCATTTTAACAGGCTTTAACTCACTTCCTGCTCACAGAAACCCTGGGAGACAGAGGCAGCCATTGTCCCATCTTATGGAGTCCCGGGTAAATAGCAAGCTAGGGCCACAAAGCCAGACCCTGCCGACCTCCTGGAGGTAGAAGGCCTGGCTTGGCTCCCCCCTCTGGGAATGGGGCCAGCGCAGAAGGGGTTAATTTAGCACCATCCCCCCTTGGGGGAGGAGGCCCCTCCCCCCCCAGTTCAGACAGACCAAGGAACAGACTCTGGGAGTTTTAGGCTGAGAAGCTGGAAAAAGCTGCCCAAGGAGGCTGGGACAGCCGCCACGTCATGGGTGCTGCGGAGCGGGGAGGGGGGTCTTCCCCCACCAAGTCTTCTGGAGGCACAGGGGAGGCCCTTCAAGCTCCAGGCCTAGTTCTTAAAGGGGCGTAGTACTCTGGCCCACTCGCCTGCCTGCCCCCTGCCAGAGGAACCCCCTTCCAGGGCAGCTCTGGGCACGCTGGGTCCCGCCTCCCGTCCTTTCGCTTGCTCACCTGGCAGGGGAGTGGGAGGGGCGGGCCTGGGAGCCCGGCCAGGCCGGTGGGGCTGTGCTTCTGTCCCACCGCCCAGGCATCACACCGCCACTAGAGTCCACACCAGAGCCCTCTCCCGGGCCTTCCTCCCGCCTCCTGCCTGGCGGGCGGGTCCAGCTGTGTTCCATTAGCAGCCCTTGGCAGGTCCCCAGCCCCCTGGAACCGCCCC